AAAACCTATGCCGTGAAGGTCATTCCTCACAGCCGGGTGGCTAAACCCCACCAGCGGGAGAAGGTGGGTGCCGTGGGGCTGGGAGGGGGCTGGGCTGGTGGGCTGCAGGGGAAGGCCTTGTGCTCACCTGGTACTGCTGCACCCTTTCAGATCACTAATGAGATTGAGCTGCACCGGGACTTGCACCACAAACATATTGTCAAGTTCTCCCATTACTTTGAGGACGCAGAGAGCATCTACATCTTCCTGGAGCACTGCAGTAGAAAGGTGAGTGCTGGTGTGGCCTCCTTTGTCAAAAGGATCTACCTAAACAGAGCCATAGCTGGTTGGAGCAGGCCTTGTCTGAGGTGCTTTGTTAGCACTCTCCTTCTCCTGGGCTGCCTTGCTGCCTGCTCTGTCACACCCTCTGAGATCATCCGTGAGCCGTGTGGTTTCACACAGCACTGGGGACACTGCCGGCTGCCTGCTCGTGTTGGCAACCTGTAGCTCCTGGTGGGGCCACCATAAATCCAGTGGCTCCTCTGGCTCTGCGGAGCAACCTCAGCCTTGTGTGGGGAGCCTGCTGAGGTCACGGCTGTGGAAGAAGGATTATTTGTGGATGTACAACTTCTGGAAGAACTGGCTTTCACCCTGCCTGCCCCATGCCTAGTCAGCAGGGCTGCCTGTTCTCCCTGCCTGCTGCCATCACCAAGCTGCCTTCTCTCCCTCTGCAGTCTCTGGCCCACATCTGGAAGGCCCGCCATACTCTGCTGGAGCCCGAAGTGCGCTATTACCTCAAACAGATCATCTCAGGCTTGAAATACCTTCACCTCAAGGGCATCCTGCACAGAGACCTCAAGCTCGGTGAGTGCTGTGGTCAGGGCAAGGCACCGTGTGGGGCACGAGCAGCTCCAGAGAGACTTGTGGTGATGCATTGCTCTTGACTTGCAGGCAACTTCTTCATCAATGAAAACATGGAGCTGAAAGTGGGGGACTTTGGGCTAGCTGCTTGCCAGGATACCTCTGACCAGAAGAAAAAGTAAGTTTCAGGTTTCCCTATTCCGGAGCCCTCTGAGGTTTCACTCTTCCTCCTGTGGCTTGCTGGGAGGGTGGAGGGGTGAGTGGTCCCTCCTGGCCTGGGGAAGGGAAGTCTTAGGGCCCCTTCCTGGGGTGGGAGAGCAATTCCTGCCCCAGCTGCAGGCAAGGCGAGGGGGCTGGGGGCTTTGTGGCTCTTCCAGGAGTGAGCTTGCAGCCGTCGGGGAGAACAATGTGCTGACTATCGCTATTGTGCCTGCCTGGCTGCCCTGCCGGCTGCGCAGGGCTGGGACACAAAGGCTCTGTTCCTCCCCAGCTCTAGGACAAGCTCTTCCCAATGGCTCCCCGCAGCAGCTGCTCCTGACCCCTGGGAGCTGGAGAGAGGGGAATCTGTATGGGGCTGCTTGTAGATGGAGGGGGGCTTTGGGCCACAAAGAGCAAAATGGAGGAGGGAGGACAGCCTGCAAGCTAAGTCCCAGGGCTTGGAGAGGCGGGCGGGGGGGCGAGGTTGTCTGCAAGGGGATGCAGAGCATGCATTTACCCACTGCTCTGCCCCACAGGACAATATGTGGGACCCCCAACTACCTGGCCCCAGAAGTGCTGCTGAGGCAAGGCCATGGACCAGAGTCAGATGTGTGGTCTCTGGGCTGTGTCATGTAAGTCTGTGCTGCTGGGTGAGGAGGGGTCTGGGCAGCCCTGCCTGCGTGGGGACGGGGGGAGAGCCGGGCTGCGGAGCGGTGTCGATGAGGAAGTCCTCTTGCACTTTGCCTTGTGGCTTTGCAGTGGTTGCCGAAAGGCAGGGGGAGGGGAGCGAGCAGCTGGATCCTGCTCAGCCCCACTTTGGAGTGGGTGCTGTCAGCCACCCCGGGATGCTGCTTGGGGGCTGCACAAGCAGGAGCTGCAAAGGGCAGGCGCTTTCATGCCACGGTCAGCTCTGGTTCAAAGCAGGCTCGACCGCCCTGTGAACCTGATAAACAACGGAAAATCTTGGTGGCTGGGTGGCAACTGCCGCTCTGTTTGTTCAGGGAGTGATCGCTGTGCTGCTTCTGCACATCCAACCCCTCGCCTGGCCGCTGCCCACAGGCTTTCTCGTCTGCTTTCCATCACGGCGGCAGCGGGA